GCCGCCCCTCCTGAGCGGGGAAATGAAAAGGCTTCCACGCTGGGAATGGTCTTGGCCTCTTTATTTGGGATAAAAGCCCCAGGTTGGCCATGAGCTAAAACACTGGTCAAAAAAAATAAGGTGGTGGGAGTCGAGCAGTGCAAGGGGGTGCGAGGGCTCCGGGGTGCATGTCCCCTCCTCCCAGCCAGACCCCGGGGCAGGGATGCTGCGGGCAGAGCGCTGGCACAGGCCAAGGCCACGCTGCACTGGTGTCCTTGGGATGGAGAGTTAGAAAACACTGGGAAGGAAGTGAGTCCGTCCTGCACGGCGAGTGGGGTTCCCCTGAGTTACACCACCGAACCGGCAGTCCTGGCTGGGGGCCAGAGCGAGCATCTGGCAAATGGAGGGATGTGGCAGTGTGAGCCAGGAGCCTCGCGGCTGCGGGGCTTGGCACGACCCTGCTCCATGCCCAGAACTGTCAGGCAGCCCCGGATGGGGGTCCCGGCTCCACTGGTGCATTGCTCTGGCTCGGCACACGGGCCAGTCCATGCTGCGCCAGCAGCTCCTGCACCAGCACGAGCTCCTGCTCCAGCTCCTGGGCACCACAGCCCAGTCCTGGTACGGTGGTGGCACTTTCCCCCAGCACCTGCAGCGCTTGTGCCGCCAGCTGGGCCCTCACCAGCAGCACAGCCACGGCCACATGCAGCTTGGCACAGCCCAGTGCCTTCATCCCCCCGCGGGCAGCAGCCTCTGTGGGAGAGCAGGCAAAGGAGCTGTGAGCATGACAGGGTCCCCCCAGGCAGGACTGGCCTGGGGGATGAGGACACCAGCTTGCCTGTCCTGGGGGTTTCACACTGTGCCATACCTTGGCTCCAGCGGTGCTTGCAGTACCGCAGGTCACGCAGGATTCCAGGGCCCCCAGCCGCCAGCCAGCGCAGAGCCGAGACACGGAGTGGGCTGCTGGCAGGTGCCTTCTCCAGGAGCTGCAGCAGGATGGGGAGCAGCTGCTGCGCCAGGGCAGCCGGCTCTGCAAAAACGTTGGGTTCATCCTCCTTGTACAGGCTGGCAGCTCTGAGGGGGCAGTCAAGGGGCAAGTGAAGCTGAGGACTAGCCCCATGGCACCCCACACTCACCCGTACCCAGCCCACAGGTCTGGCAACTCACTTGTTGGTCTCCAGCTCTTCCACAATGCTCCTGAGATCTAGGACAGGAAGGTGCCACAGCAGTGAGTCGAAGGTTTCCGGGTGGTCCCCAAACTCTGCCAGGAGGAGCTGCAGGAGGCTCTGGAGCCCAACATTGTCCTGCACAAAGACACAGCCACCTGGGAGTGGCTCCGTGGGATCTGGCCGCAAGAGGCTGGCGAAACACGAGGCCTCGTGCCGGACCTCCCGCTCCTCATCTTGCAGAAGGTGAATGCCCACATTTATCAGCCTGGGGGAAGGGAAGAGAAGAAAAGGGAAGGGAAGGCCACCACACTCCCCTGAGCATCCCCAACCTGTCGGGAGAGGGGGGAAGGATGAGAGCTCCCCAGGCAATGCTTCTCTGAAGGACTTTTCTCTTGTGGCGTGAAAGGCACAGACACTACCTGAAAGATCACTGCTTGGGAGAGGAGGGACCCACCATGCAGTTTACTGCTCGTAAGGGATTGGCTACTTCTCTTAAAATACCACCACCAATTTTTGTAGGCTGCAAGCTCTTAAGTGCTAGTGATTTTTGAATGAGTGGAGTTTTCTTTAATGCCCTTTAATTTTTTGCAGAGGACATTGCATTTTGCAGGGTCAGCCTGCAACACCCCAGGGCTGTGGGCAGTGCTGCTTCCGCAAGGACTTACCGCAGAGCCACAGAGACAAGCGAGGGACAGGCAGCACGCAGGGATCGTCGCACCACATTGGCACCCGCTGTCCGCAGGGAGCAGGCGGCCGCCAGCCGCAGCACCTCGGACAAAGCAGACCGGCTGCACTGCTCCAGCGCTGTGCACCATCGCTCGGCCAGGGGCCCGTCCTCAGCCCCAACCCTGTCAGAGCCCAGCGAAGGAGAGGGAATTCAGGCACACCTACCAGCTCTATCTGAGTGTCCAAAGACCACCAACTGCCCTGAGACCACAGGACCCAGAGACAAAGCTGTGATTTCTAGGCAAGAAGTTGTGGCTACTTCCAGCAAGGACTAAGGAGAAATCTGGAAGGGTCAGACAGAGTGCCCTGGCAGGACAGGGACCTACCAGTGGGCCAGCAGCAGGCTGGCAGCACACAGCACCTGGAAGAGGAGGTCGGGGCCAGGATGCTCAGCCTCCACCATGTGCAGCAGCATCTCCAGGCATGCTGCCGAGGAGCCCTGGAGCTTACAGGAAGCTTCGTGGGACCACGATGAGGGATCTCTGTAAAGATGCAGCAAAGCCTCAAGGTACAATCTCAGGAATTCTTTGTCTCTTCTCTCTCGCAGCACCGACCCCAAGCTCTCCTAGTTGACAGTGGGAAAGAAGATACACAGTTAGTGGCCCTGGCACTGCAGGGTGGCAACCTCAGTGCAACCAGCTGAGCACCCTGCACCCGTGCAGCCTCAGCCTGGGGAGCAGCATGCTTCTCAGTGAGCACACAGCACCCCATCTGTGCAGTGCATTGGGGACCCTCTGCTTTACTCGGTGACTTCTGAGCCTTATCGTACCAGCAGTGTCAGCCTGAGAGCCTTCTCCAGCTCCTCACACGTTCCTTCCTCCCCAGCAATCACCCAGCTCAGGACAGCAAGCTGGACATCAGGATTTGGTTGCCGGAGAAGTGAGCAGACAGCACTGATCCGCTCGCCATCCACCAGCTGGGCTGCCTCGCTGCACACAAAGTGGGCCATGGTTTGGTGGAGGATGGCTGAGCCCACCTGCAGAAAACCAGGATACTCCTTCCGACACTCGGCCTTGAGTGGGGTGTGTGCCCATGAGTGGGGGTTCCTCACCTCCCACCCCCGGGCTCACCGCCAGGAAGGCCACAGCCATGATTTCCCTGGCAGGCAGCAGTACCTGCAGCTCGGCGCATCCCAGCTTTCCCCCTGGCGGGAGGCTGCCCAGCTCGGTGCTGATGGCAACACGGATGCTCTGGGTGAAGCTAGGGCTGAAGGATGAGGGTAGGAGGGCGAGGATCTGGAGGAAGGCAGCACGGACGAGCGGGCAGCGCTGGGCAGGGGTGAGCAGCCAGTCCCGTGCCTCCAGCTGCAGAACCACAGGGTGCAGAGCCTCGGCCGACAGCCTGCGGGGAGACACGCAGCCTCACCATGGGGTCCCCAGCACAGGCACGGGCGCTGCTTTTCAGCCAGAAAGCTGCATCTCAGCACAGAGTGACCACAGGGCCCGGGGGATGGCGTGGGACCACTCACCCCTTGGTGCTTGCAGGGGCAGCCAGCAGCGCCTGCATCTGCAGCAGACACCCGTGGACAGCGTTGTGCGAGCGGACCTGTCCAGGTGTGGCAGGGAGCTGCCGGGCCAGCTGCAGGAGGAGCCCCGGGCGCTGGGGTGGCGGGACAACCGGCACCAGTGCCTTGGCAGCCATCGCTCTCACGGCGTAGATGGGGCTCCCCGCCAGCTCCAGCAGCGGCCTCAGGAAGTGAGCAGAGGGGCTGCGGAGCAAAAAGGGCACTGCGTGGTGATGCTCCAGCTGGAGCAACCCCCCCCTCCACCAAGAGCTAGGGCCAGCCCCGGCACTGCAGGACCACCTGCTGCAGGAGCCCGTGGCCAGGGCAGAGCATCTCTGCTGCCCCCTCACCTGCTGGGGCTGTCGGCACCAGGTTGCAGCTGGGCCAGGAGGGTGAGGACAGCGTGGAGCGCGGGGCGCAGGTGGGGCCCCCCTGGTGCGGGCCCCGTGGCTGCCCCCAGCTCACCCAGCAGGACGGTGCCCAGTTGGGGATGCTGCCCGAGGAAAGCTTGTAGGCTCACCCCCTCTGCTGGGCAGCCCTCCCCACGGCTCCGCTGCTGGCCCAGCAGCCGGGATGTGAGGGCGCCTGCAGACATGGAGCAGAAAGCAGGGTCAAGTCCTGTCCACCCTCTGCCCGACCCCTGGCACTTCGCTCTCACCCTGAGGGGTTGCAGCGGTTCTGCAGGGATCTTTCCCCCTCGGTACTCACTGAAGAGCTGGATGGCCGCGTTCCTCATGGCCCAGCACGGCGAGCTCAGGCCCCGCAGCGCCAGGGCCACCATTGGTGTGACGTGTCGCAGCAGCGCGCTGCCCAGCCCCGTGCCACGGACCAGCGTTTGCAGCACATGGAGGGCACACACCTGGGGAGAGCGTGTGGGGCTCAGCAGCACTGCGTGGGGAGGGGGCTCACACTTCCCTCCAAAGGGAAGATGGTGGGAGGACATGGGGAAGCCATGGGGCTGTCAGCTCCCGCGCTGCCGGGATGGGTGGCGTGGCCAGGGATGCAGCTTTTTGCTCACCCTGAGGTTTCTGCGCTAGCTAGCTCAGAGCCCCAGTGCAGCTCCCTTTAGGAGACCTCATGCAGATCACCCAAACAGGCTACAGCATCCAGGGGCTCAGTGCCCACCGTGCTCACCTGCGGGAGGTCGAGGGTCTGGTCCCAGTCCTGTGGCAGGGCTGTGGTGGCCAAGGCCAGCAGCGTCCTGACACAGCGGGTCAGCAGCGGCCGTGCCTGTGCCGGGGCCTCCCCGCTGACAATGCAGAGGAAGAGCATGGGGAAGCCAGCGGCACGGCGAGTGATTGAGCTGCTCCGGGGTCCACTCAGCGCTTCTAAGCCCTGAGGAACAAAACCCACCCGAGATATGGCTGGAAGCTTGCTGGCTGGAGCCTGCAGCTGCTCTGCAGGGGAGGGCGCCAGCTGCACCAACCCCGCGCTGCATCATCTCAGTTGCCAGGTGGGTGTTTGCCTGAGAGTGGGGGGACACAGAGACATGGCTCTGAGGCTCCCCAGGGCATGGGAAGAACATGGGGCAGAATGAGCACGGTACCTGCTCCAGCATGGTCTGCGGGATGGCCTGCAGCTCCGTGTCTGGGTGGTTCAGCAGAGCAGCGCAGAACTTGGTGAAGCCCATGCTGCAGCCCTCCACTGCTCCCTAGGGCAGAGCAGCGTGAGGCCCCTGTGCCCCAAAGGCTGCATCCGCCAGCACCCACTGGCCCCCACAAACCTCTTTGCAAAGGGGAAGGAGAAAGCAAGAAGACATGATGGTGTGGGGACGTGACAGGGTTTGGCACTGGGATCCCAGCCAGGGGCTTCCAGCCGTGCTCCACATCCTGCCCCAGAGCAGACGCTGCCCCCCTGTGCTCGCCCTCCCTGCAGGCCAGCGAGAGCCCCTGGCTATTGCCCTGGGGCAGGGACAGGGCTGGAGGGGTGGTGAAGGGGCTGAGCCACCCCAGGTGGGACACGCTCTTACCCAGTGCCGGCAGCGCAGCAGGATTTCCTGGAACACCCTCACGGCCATCTGCAGGGTGGAGAGTGGCAGGAGGGGCGCGGATCCAGCAGGCAGCGTGGGGGCCAGCAGCAGCTCAGCCAGGCCCCCCAGGAGCAGCCCTATCTCCTGGGAAGAAGCAGAAGGTCACCGAGATGGGTAGTGGGGCTGCCCCACTCCTGTCCTGCCCACTATCGCCACCACAGGGAAGCACAATGGGTGCTGCTGTCGCCCCCCAGCATGGGTGCGCTTGGTTGCCGACACCATCAGGCAGTGTGGCTACCAGTGTGGCTCCAAGCATGCACAGGCTCTGTGGCCCAGCCATTTCCCAGCCAGCTGCAAGGTGTGTGTGGCAGAGATGGCCTTTTTCCAGACAGCCTCTGGAAAGGCTGTGGAAGAGAAGCTGGGATGGGCGACTGCAAGGCTGCAAGCCAGGGAGCTCGGCTCTGGCACAGCTGGGGTCTGTCAGTGCCTGGGAACCAGCTGGGCTGCATAGGGCAGGCAGGCGGCGGCTTTTGGGGAGCCTGGTGGTTGCACTCTCCTTGGCAGAGGGTGAGGATGGGTGCAGCAGGTCCGAGGTAAGGGCAGAGATTTCCCCTTGTTCATCCTCAGGGAGGGTGGATGCCCCAAGGGGAGTTAAAGAACCCAGCTGCTGAGGTGGGTGCCATGCTGGGCTGCCCATCTTCCCAGTGCCATGAGGAGGGGTGCCTACCTTCACTGATACCCAGCAGCAGGTCAGGATCAGGCTGTGCTCCTCTGACAGCAGGATTGAGTCCTCCTCCTCTTCCTCCTGCCCCCGGCCTTTTCCCAGCATGATGAGGGAGCCGATGGCATTCCCCATGTCTGCGAACGACGGGGCAGCAGCTGCAAAATGGAAAAGCCTGGTCTGAGCGGGGCAGTGCCTGCAGGGAGTGTGGGGAAGAGGGAGGGGGATGCCCCTGGGGGTTTGGGGAGACCCGCTGTCCCCTGTTCAGAGTGCACAAAAATGGCAGCAGTTCCTGTCCTGCAATGTGTCCCACTCAGGACCGTGGTTTGCTTTGCCCCACTGCTCTTTCCACATCATTGCTGTAAGAGTTCTGCCAGGCCCTCTCTCCCAGCTGCTCCAACTGAGCAAGTGCCTTGCTGCTTCTGGAAGGCTTTTGCCTCAACTTCTGCTGCTGTTCTCACATGCAGTTGAGAAAGGGACCCAAACCCAGGTGCTAGCCACTCTGCTCCTGTATTTTCCTGGATCCTCTGCCCATTAGCTAGAGTGTCCTTGCCCAGGTGTCCTCCTTTGGACCTTCCAGGCCAACCATCCCTGCCTGGCCCCACTGCTGTCCCCTGCTAGAGGCAGTGAGCCCAAAGCAAGTGTGTTCCCCGCAGGCTGGAGGGCTGCTGGGTTAAGGATGGCTGTGATGGAGGTACCAGTGGTTCCTGGGGCTGGTCACCCCCAGGGACACTCTCACCTTGCTCACCGGCGCCGGGGCCTTGCTGGCTCTGCAGTGCTCCCAGGAGGAAGGAGGTGATGTCTCTCACCGTGGTCACGAGGCGGGCAAGGAGCTCCTGCCAGCTCTGTGCCAGCTCTGCTGCCCGCATGGAAGCGGCCACCTCTGGCACCTGGAGCAGGCACCTCCGCAGGGCTGCGATGGCTCCTGCACACACACCCACCTCTGGTCACAGCTGTGGCCAGGGCAGCCCCAGCCCTCCTGCCTGAGACTACAGCTGAAATGGCTTACGGGCAGGGGGGCTCAGGGCCCCCAGGTGAAGGCCACACTGGGCAGGTGGAGCAGTAATACAGGAGAACTGTGGCAAACACATGGCATCAGCACTGAGTTTGTGGCCTCAGCCTTGCCTATACAATTCCTGCCTGCTCCAGATTACCAGGAAGGAGACCTGCTGGAGGAGCCTGCTGGGCTGGGGCCGTACCGTGCATCGGTGTGCTGGCTGCTGCCTGCAGCAGGTCCTGGCACGCTGCAGCGTACTGGGCTTGCAGCACGTGGAGAAGGTGCTGAACGAAGCACAGGCCTCGGTTGGGCAGTGTCAGGGCTGCTTCAGCCTCCAGGGCCAGGCTCTTCATGGTGCTGCTGTCTGACCTGGGGGAAGAGGCAAACACTGCTGTGAGAATGAGGGAGTTTTCTGCCCATCCTGTGTTATGCGGTTCCTTCCTCATCCAATGCAGGTTCCTGCACCCCAACCCTACCCAGCTCCCCACCGCAAGGCTATTTCAAACCCAAGCCATTGCTGCCCCGAGCTATCGACACAGACTCCAGTGAGACACCGGTGCTGCCAACACACACTCCCAGGGGCTGCTGTGCCACCATGGGGAGGGGGAAGCCAGGAGCTCATACTTCTGCAGGATGGTCTTCATCAGCACAGCTCCAGCTTCAGCCTCCTGCACTCGGGGGCTGCCCAGGGCATCCTGGGCCAGCTGGAAGAGAGCCAGGGCGATGGGCTCAGGGAACGTGGCAGGGAAGTAGCGGACAAGTAGCTCCGATGCCAAGTCTCTGATCTGCCAAGACAGGAGAGGTGGGTGGAATCAAGGCATGGGAGGAGGGAAACACAGTGGGCTTTCCCTCTGAGCCTGCTCAGGGCCAAGGCAGGTGTCTGTGGCCTCACCTTGTCTTTACAATGCTCACCTCATTAGTGCTGTCCTGCAAGCAGCCCAGCAGTGCCAACAAATTGGGCTGAGAGAAGAAGTCCCAGCAGCCGCTCTGCCTGGCATAGCTCAGCAGCACGGCCATGGTCCCTGCAGGGGGGATACGGGGCAGTGGGATGGGACTGGTGGGGAGCACCCCTGCAGCCGAGGGGTGATGCTCCAGGTGGGCTGCCCATACTCACGTGGGGGCTGGCCTTTCTTCCTCTCGGGGCTCCAGGTGTCTGTGCAGGTCTCCAAAACAGTGGCTAGGAGGAGCAGACCTGTCTTCTTCCTCTGATAGTTGGCGCCCGGGCTGAGTGAGGTGACGCTGAGCTGCAGCAGCCACTCCACAAAGCCTGTGGGCAAAGAGCATGGCAGCGAGTGATGCTGGACTGGGCACCCGTGTGCAAATCCCCCAGGGCTGTGATGGAGGTGCTGGGGTGGCCACCTCACCTACTGCCTGGGCGAGCTGCCCTGCTGCCTTGCCCGGCTCGGTGCCTCGGGGTGCCTTCCCTCGCAGCTGGGCCAGCGAGCTGTCCCGCAGCCGGACCAGCGCCTTCCTCACCGCTGCCTGCAGCAGCTGCCGGAATGAGGAGGAGTCGCAGTTGAGGTTGAGGGGCAGGAACTCCTGCAGCAGCTGCATCTCAGTACCCAGGAGGGGCTGGTTGGTGCTGGGGCTGCAGCAGAGCAGACCCAGCGCCGCCAGCCGAATGCTCTCCTCGCTGGCACCCAGGCAGCAGGAGAGTCGCTCCAGCGCCTCGCCCTGCAGTGGCAGGGACCCTGCCACGCTCTTCTGTGCCTTCAGCAGCGAGACCCAAGCCCGCAGCGATGCCGTGTCCTGGCCACTGAACTGGGTGGCCAGTGGTGTCTGTGTGGCTGGGAGCTGCCGCAGGGTCCAGGTGAGGAGGTGGTTGGTGGCGTTGCTCTGCAGGATGGGCCGGGGGGAGCGGAGTGCCTGGGAGAGCAGGGGCAGCCAGTACAGCGTCCACTGCTCTGCCAGAGCCGCCTCCCCACCCCGCTGCCCGTCCTGCCGCTCGGCACACTGCTGCCGCACCAGCGCCTTGTAGACCTCGGTGGCTGCGGGACACAGGTGGTTGGTGGAGAGGCAGCTCAGGAGGTGCTGCGGCAGGTCTGGGTAGGCATCCAGCACCTGGGAGAAAGGCAGACGACCCTCATCCCCGTGCCAGGCTGAAGGCTGGGTACGGTGGGGGATGGATCTGGGTACAGACCACACTGTGGTCACCCATGGCACCAAGATCTCTGGCACCCCAAGCTGCTTTTGGCCAGATTTTGGTGGGCATCCATGGGCACAGGTTCCCTCCCCGCTGGCAGTGCCCAGGGATGCATCACTGTTGCTGTAGCTCACTACCCCACCAGGGATTCTATGCCTTAGGTGATATCAAAACAGCCCCCCGGGCTGGGCAGGCTGCCTGCCCGCATGGCTGAGCCAGGCAGGGGAAGGTGACATGCAGCGGACAGAGGCTGTGCCACACGGGACCAAGCCTCCCTGTCCCTGCGCCTTCCCTACCTGTTGGCTGCCCACATAGGGGACAATGGCACACAGGGGCACGTATCTGGCTTTGATTTGCCACGGCATCGAGACCACCCTCTGCAGCATCTGTTGGTAGAGGGGTCTCTCCTGGTCCTGGAAGTGCTGGCACTCGAGGTGGTAGATCTCCAGGAGCAGCCGGAAGGAGCTGTGAACGAACTCAGACACCCCTTCCACCTGCAGGGAGAAGGCCAGCAGCGAGCACGAACCATTAGGGTGGGCTCCCTCTTGTCTTGCTGTGTCAGAAAAGACCCTTTGCTTTCCCCTGTCTGTGGACTTTCAGTACTGGCTGGTAACCAAGGGGTTAGGAGCTGTGGACGTGGGGAGGGCAGGTGGTGAGCCAGTAGATGTGGACAGGCTGGGACTGCACTGGTGGAGGTGCAGACCCAGCCTGGGGAGGGCAAAACATGAGGACATGTCCCTGCACAGGCTGTGTGTGACAAGTGCCCCAGCCTCAGCAGTGTGGGTGCCCCTGCCCTGCCAGAGGGCAGCTGCAGGCAGCCGCAGGCAAGGGGGTGGTTTGGTTGGTGGAGCTGAAACAGGCAGGGCTGAGTTATGGGCAGGGGAACAGCAGCTGAGCCAGGTGAAGGAAGGGCTGTTTCTGGCTGCCCTAGCACGGTCTTACCGGGGTCTCAGCATTGTCCCACACCAGCTGGGTGAGCTGCCGGAGCAGCTCGGTGTCCTGGGCCAGGATGCGGGTGCCAGTGAGGCGCCAGACGGCAGGCAGGCTGTCCCGCAGGCGCTGCAGCCACAGGGCACAGGCTGCAAGAGCAGAGAGCACCGCTGCAGCCCTCACCCGAGACTCGCCTGCAGAGCCGGGGCGGGCTGATGGGCTTAAGGACCCCATGTGCAAGGGGAGCAGTTTCCCCATTAGGTGCAGAAGAGCCCAAGAAGGTTAGTAGTGTCTGTTGGGCTGAATGGAGAAATTAATAGCAGTTCCCAGACCAGCTACCAAGATCCAGAAAAGCATCTTCTCTGGGAGAAGATAAAGCACCACAAGGGCTCTGTGCTGCATGAGCACTGTGAACCTTTTAAACCTCCCCACCACGGCGTGATCATCATCTCCTACCTTGGAAGCAGTAGTAGTGGCAATCCTTCTGCTCCTTGGTCAGGGCACACACAGTGGGAAAGATCACGTCCAGCAGCAGGCAGGCCTGCGGGAGCACAGTGGCTCAGGCAGCGGGCAGGAGAGGGCTTTCCAGTGCGAGAAAACCCCGCCATGAGACAGGCAAAGTGAGCACTGCCTAGTTTTTCTGCTCTTGTAGCAGCTTATTGCTAGCTTTTAAAGCTCCCTGTCTGGAAGTTCTCAGCTCTTAAGAATTCAGGATATGCTGGAGATGGGCTGAGCTGGAGCCTACACTTGGCCCAGGGCAGCCCTAGCTTCATGCTGCAGGAGCACGGGGCAAAAGCTGCTACTGTTTTGCTTGTGCTGGGGCTACTTTTAGCAGCTTCTGGCTTCTCAGCTCCCCAGGTTCCCAGGAGAGGGAAATTCCTGCTCAGATGTCTTTGGAAAAAGCAGTCTCCTGCCTAATGCACCGTGCACAGTGGGATGTGTGGAGCTGCTGGTGCAGCCTGGCTATGTCCCCCAGGGATTCACAGCCCCTGCTAGTGGCTGCCAGCCGTCTCCAAGGGTTCTCAAGCCCTGGCTGTTGTGTTTGAGCTCTCCTACCTTGTGGGTGAAGCTCTCCACCTGGCAGCTGAGGATGTCCATTTTGCAACATGTCAGCAAACCTCTGGTGAACACCAGCTTCTCCAGCCCATCGGGCTCCAGGACAGGGGGGACCTCCACCTCCAGCTCCCCAAACTTCAGCTCCTCTGCACCTGGTGGGAAATGGCTGCATTAGATGGCAGAAAGATGCCGAGCCCAAATGCTGTTCCAAGAGTGAACTGCCCTGGCTCATTCTGGAGTGACTATGGGAGGTGGCCTGTGGCAGCTGGGGCTCCCAGACCCCAAGAGCAGGACGCTGCCGTGTCCAGCTTGCACTGCTGGTAAGTGGGGCTAGCTTCTGTCCCCTTGCACCCGAACACGCCTGTCCCGGCCGTCCCCTTCGCCCGAAGCCATCCCTGCCTTGGGATGGAGCATGTACCTCGGTCAGGGAGCTGGAAGAGGGCCAGCACGGCGCTGGCCCCACGCTCAGGCTGTGGGGCTGTGTTCACCAGCATGCTCAAGGCCGTGCCTGCCAGCAGCCTCGTGTCCTTGTTTGGGGCCTGGACTTGCAGAGAAGGCAAAGGCACTGCTCAAAACGCCATTTAAAACCAAACTCAATTTAACCCTCCCTCCATGCCCATGCAGGCAACTACATAGGGTCTCTTGGCAACCTCAGACACTGGAGCTGCCTCTGCAGGCTCCCCTCGGGGAGGGGCATGGGGAAAACACCCAGGAAGGACAGCATCGCTCTGCTCCTCGGCACAGGCAGTCCCTCCTGGGGGCCGTACGCACCTTCCCCCACGCCACCTCCAGCAGCAGCCCTAAGAGGCTCTGCAGGGCTTCGCTCTTCCCTGCAGCACTCCACACCAAGGGGGCCACGTCCTTCGGGAGTGCCTGGAAGAGCTGGAGACAAGCCTGGAGGAGGAGGGACAGGGCCCGTGGGGATGGCTGTCAGCATCCCTCACCTCCCAAAAAGCAGCAGTTCCCCAGGATGGCCATCTGAAGTGGTGCTGTGTGCCACACCTCTCCTGGACATTGCTGCCAGTGCCTGGCCAATCCTTGCAGACACCGATCCTTCCCCCCTCCTCCAAAATTCAGCTCTTACCTTGACAGCCAGGTAGCCCCACGTGCTGCCGGGTGCGGGCTGGCTCTGCAGCACCCAGCGTAAGGTGGTGGCCAGACGCTGCAGCAGCGGGGCCAGGTTCTGCTGCCAGTGCTGCCGGCCCAGGATGCTCTCCTCCGTGAACATGCAAACTGCGGGCAAGGGGACAGCATCATTCCCTGGCCCTCCCAGCACTGTGCCGCAGCCAGCCCTGCTCCCAGTTAAGCTAAGGGCTGTGCTGCTGGCAAGCAGTGTGAGAATGGGGCTGGGATGCAGGGGGTGCTGTGGCTTGTCCCAGGGGGGTGGGCAGAGCCATTGGGTGTTGCTGGGACCTCTGCAGAGATCCCACAGATCCAGCTGAGCCCTGTGCCCCCTCCCACGAGCACAGAGGACCCAGTCTGGGTGGGCAGGAGGTGTCTCTTGTGTTGGTGGTGTGGGCTGGGAGAAGCCCCCGGAGAGGAAGGAGCAGAGACTGACCTGACTGAAGGTCCCCAGGAGACAGCACCTGCAGGGGCAGAAGGACAGTTTGTCCTGAATGCTGACATGCTGGGGTTTGCTCCCTTGGGCAGGAGGGTCCTGCCTGTGCCAGAAGCTGTCCCAGGGATGAGTGAAGGGCTGGTGTGACAGGCAGCCACATGTCACCAGCTGCAAGCAAGGGCGAGCCCCCAGCACAGTAGAAAGAGAAGCAAAGGACCTCAGGCAGCCCAAACCAGGGGGCCCCTGTCACACGTGGGCTCCAGTCAAGCCCCTGCAAAATCTGTGCCACCGCACAACTGGGGTGCTCTCACCTCTCCCTCCAGGCCAGCCAGCAGCATGCCCACCTCCCGGGCCAGCAGTGCTTCCTTCCCCACCGCCAGCTGGGTCACGATCTGCCGAGAGACACCCCGAGTCAGCCGCTCTGACCCCCAAGAGACACCAGCTGCAGTGCACCTTCGGGGAGCTCTGTGGTGTCACCGTGGCCCCTTTGCTGGTAAGGATGCACTGCACCGGAGCTGCGCCGGCAGCAGGCACAGCCGGGCGAGATCACTGCTTGCACTTGTGGCTAAAAGAGCTCTGAAGTCACAGCTCAGCTGGTTGTGTTACAGACCTGTTCCAGTTTCTGGAAAGAGCTGGAGCTGCCGGTTGCTTCCATCTGGAAAGCCAGGACACAGCGGAGCAGGGGCCGTGCCTCCGCCTCGTCCAGTGCCCGCAGACCCTCACCCAGCGCCCGCGACAGCAGGAGAGCCTCCTCCAGGTGCTTGTCTTTGCATCTCTTGGCAGTACTCCTGGAACAGGAAGGGGATGGCGGTGAAGGTACCCTGGCTCTGTGGGGATGGGGTGGAGATACCCCAGCCTGGTGGAGATTAGGCTTGGGGTGCCCTGGTTCAATGTGGATTGGAAAGGGGGTACCCCAGTTCGATTTGGATTGGGGTGAGGGTGCCTCGTCTTGGTGGGAATTAGGGGTGGGGTACCCCAGTTTGATTTAGATGGGGTAGGGGTGCCCCATCTTGAGAGGGGTTAGGGTTGGGGTGCCCCAGGGTGTATGCTCTTCTCTCCCAACTGCACTCAGCATTGCACAGGGCGGAGTGTGGGGAGGGGGGGTGAAACTCCTCAAAACTCAAAAACTCAGCGTCCACAACCCAGCCTGTTCTGGCGAACGCAAGCCCTTCGCGGGGCGGGGGGGGCAGGAGGGCCCAAAAATTCCTAAAACTTGCTGCCCAGCTTCTGCAGAGCGGGTGGAAGGAGATGAGGGCAAGTGGGGGTGGCTCGGTCCCCCTATGCGGGGACAGAGCCCCCCCCCCCTCCCCACCTCCCGAACCGCGCCTGGG